CTGTATATTCAACAATGTTAAAGAATTACACTTAAAACTGTTACCAATATCTACCCCACAAACGAGACTGTATCTAAATTTGGTAATCCTAATTGAAATTGTGCCTTCTGTAAATCAAGTATTGAATCAATTGATCATCTTTTTGTCAATTGCCCACAAGTTAAAGTGTTTGATCAGATTAATAGGGTTTAATACATCAAAATGTAAGTTTAACATTGAATTTTCCATGTGTGATATAGTTTGTTACTTTTCTCATGACAAAAATAACATAGAATTTATAGGCAATTTATTTATTTTAATGGGCAAATATTATATTCACAACTGTAAATTTTCTTTTTCTTCACCCAATTTGCAGAATTTTCTTTGTTTAATTACTACATTACAAAATGTTTATAGTAAAAAAAAAGTGTAAAAACTTTTGTAAATATTATTTAATTTGATCATTTTGCTTCTGAACCTTATTTTTCTTACTATTATTTTATTCTATTAGTCTTGTTTGTTTAGGTTTAGTTATTTTTTTAAGGTTTGTTATTGTTTATTATTGTACTTCATGTCATGCAGGTTCAGGTTATTAATACGACTGTATTGTTAAAACCTAATAAAAAAAGAAAACAAAAGGTTTCTCATAATCACCTGTAAACTCTGACACAAAGTCAATAACCAATTGGATGTTTCATGAATGTATGTTGGATAGATTATAGGTAAAACAATTTCTTTTAGTCTAACCAACATAAAAGCACTTTTAACATGAAAAAAAATAGGTTCGATGTTATTAGCCCCTTCAGAAATAATAATTTTTTGATTGGCTATAAAACAAAGTGGTCTAGTGACCTAAATAACCTCATCTAGTTAACCTAATAAACCTACAGTTAAGCATTTAAATCTGACTTTAAGCTGAATACTATAGTATCTTACAAAATAGCAAGTCAAATAATATGTACTGTCATCATGACAAGCACAAAACGAATTGATTATTAGAAATTAGTTATTAAAACAAAACAAAAATGTTCATTAGCCAATCAGAATCAAGCATTAAACCGGGTCATATTATAAATATTGATAATCTTCTATTTAGATCTGTCAAAATCCATGTTGAATTGTTCAGCCTGTTTTAAAGTTAGCTAAGCTTTTAGGCAAAACTAGTCTGAGCCGGTGAGGGCTCAAAGCATTTTGTTTACCCTCACAGTATGTCACACACTATTGTCATCTTGGCCTTGTTATTATTTCATATATGCATGTCCATCGGGCACACAGTGTACTCTGTTTATTTCATATCAGCCTGACCTGATTGAGAATGGGGGCATGTTGATGAGCCTCGGGTGAAGTCAAAAACTGGCCTTTGTCCCAAACTCTGAGGCACTTGGCAGGTTGTGGAGTCTGTAACATCATACTAACCTCATTGTGTTTAGTTCTCAGTCATCTAAGAGTATGTCATCCTTTACCTCACCCTCAGGTCGTCCCAGTGTGCTTTGTCCTTCTCTGAAACATAAAGGAAGATCATTTTTGTGCAGACAATGGGCTTTAGTGTTGTTAACTATTTCCCTGCCAGCATTTTATTAATATTTTCCAGCCGTCACAAGAATTTTTGATGATTTCCACCTACATTTGACAGCCCTGAGAATAATTTCGGCTAGGAATCTATTATCATATTATTCGTTCATACATTTTCTTTCGGCTTAACCACTTATTTATTAGGGGTCTCCACAGCAGAATGAACCGCCAACTATTCCAGCATGTTTTAAACTGCAACCCAGTACTAGGAAACCCCCATACACTCTCACATCCACACACACTCATACACTATGGCAAATTTTATTTATTCAATTCACCTGTAGCGCATGTCTCTGGACTGTGGGGGAAACCGGAGCACCCGGAGGAAACCCACGTGAACACCGGGAGAACATGCAAACTCCACACAGAAATGCCAACTGACCCAGCCAGGGCTCGAACCAGTGACCTTCTTGCTGTGAAACAACAGTGCAAACCCCTGAGCTGCCATGTCGCACCAAACAGAATACAAAATAAATAAATAAATGACATCATAAGTGTACATGCATATTGAATAATAAACGTACGTGATGTTAGTTAGCACAGAAACTAAACCAAAACACATACAATAATATAAATAAAAAATAAACAATTCTATATTTTTACATTTACGATCTTACCTTCATGTTTTCTGATCGTCTTTTATTTCCCTCACAGGAGACCCAGAAGTACTGTAACTTACTCAGAACATGCACTAGGGTTTCCCTTTCAGTAATACACCTAAAACCCATCGATGGCGAAGAAGCGTTGTCTCTTGATTAGATATACAGTTGAAACCAGAGGTTTACATGCACTGTATAAAAAGCCACATAACCAATTAAAAAAAAGTCAGATGTTAATGTGACTAAACTTTTTTCTCTTTTAGGTAAACTAGGATTGTTAAATTTGTTTCTGTTCTGCTTAATAGCAGAATAATTAGAGAGATATTGGTTGAGAATTTGTTATAACTTTTTTTGAAAGTCAAATTTACATTCAATAAGATTATCATGGCTCTGAAAAAGCTCAGATGATGATGTCAAGGTTTCCGAAGTTTCTGATTGGCTAATTGACAACATTTGAGTTAATTGGAGGCGCAACTGTAGACTAGCATTGAAGGAAAACCTCAAACACACTGCTTCCTTGTGTGACAACATCAGAAAATCAACAAGCCAGAATCAATAACAAAGCCAGATTACAATTTGTCCAATGTCCTGTGGTCTAATGGAAAAGATTGAACTCTTTGGCCATAATGACCAGTGTTACATTTGGAGGATAAAGGGGAAAGCTTACAAGCTTAGGAAAACCATCCCAACTGTGAAGTATGGGGGCGGCAGCATCATGTTGTGGGGCTGTTTTGCTGCAGGAGGGACTGGTCCACTTCACAGCATAGATGGCATCGTGAGGAAAGAACATTATGTAGAAATACTGAAGCAACATCTTAAGGCATCAGCCAGGAAATTAAAACTTGGCCACAAAAGGGTCTTCCACACAGACCATGACCCTAAGCATACTGCCGAATTAGTTAAAATGTGCTTTAAGAACAACAGAGTGAATGTTTTAGAGTGGCTATCACAAAGCCCTGAACTCAATCTTATAGAAAATTTGTGGACAGAGTTGAAAAAGCTTGTTTAAGCAAGACAGCCTATCTGATTCAGTTACAGCAATTCTGTCAGGAGGAATGGGCCAAAATTCCTGCAAACTATTGTGAGAAGCTTGTGGATACCCAAAATATTTGACCGAAGTTATACCGTTTAAAAGCAAAGCTAAAAAATACCAAGGAAACGTGTGTAAACTTTTGACTGTCTAGAAATTAATAAAAAAATTCACACACTAAAAAAAAAATCTCATTACTGTGGCATTTAGCAAATGTAAATCCTTTGGGTAGTCCCAACAGACCAAAAATAGTAAACGTTTAGTATGATTTGCCATCAGACATTTTTTTAAATAGAGTGTATGTAAACTTCTAGGTTTCAACTGTATATCAATAATGGCAGGGAAAGAGTTTTATAGAGGGGATTATTCTACCCCAAAATGAAAATTCTGTTATTAATCACTCGTCCTCATGTCATAGGATATTTTAGATGAAATCCAGGAGCTCTCTGACCCTCAACAAAGTCCAGAGACATTCATTCATTTTTCTTTGACTTTGTCCTTTATTTATTGGCAGTTCCCACAGCGGAATGAACCGCCAACAATTCCAGCATATGTTTTACACAGCAAATGCCCTTCCAGCCACAACCCAGTACTGGGAAAACACCCATACACATTCATACACTCAATTTCATTCATTCATTTTCGGCTTAGTCACTATATTAATCTGGTGTCACCACAGCGGAATGAACCGCCAACTTATCCAGCATATGTTTTATGCAGCGAATGCCCTTCCAGCCACAACCTATCACAGGGAAACATACACACTCATTTACACACAAACAAGTTTAGCTTGACAAATTCACTTATACCACATCTTTGGACTTGTGTGGAAAAACGGAGCACCCAGTGGAAACCCACGCAAACACATGCAAGAACTTGCAAACTCCACCAGAAATGCCTGACTCAGCCAGGACTCGAACCAGCGACCTTCTTGCAGTGAGGCTACCCACTGCGCCACCATGAAGCCCAGTCAAAGGATCAGTCAAACCCCCCCAAGTCAACCCCCCCCCCCTCCCCCCCCCAAAAAAAACCCCACTCATTTCTGCTCTCTGACCCTCAACAAAGTCTTGAGACATTCAAAGTTCTGAAATAAGCCAACAACATTATAAAACAGTTCATGTGTCTTGTGTTTCAACTGTAACCACATGAAGCTCCATGAACTATTTTGTGCACAACATAAACTAAATATTTGTTTGCCAATGTCTTCCATATCATATCGTATCATATCATATCATATCATATCATATCATATCATATCATATCATATCATTCATTCATTCATTCATTCATTCATTCATTTATTCATTTTCCTTCAGCTAAGTCCCTTTATTCATCAGGGGTCGCCACAGTGGAATGAACCGCCAACTTATCCAGCATATGTTGTACACAACTGAATCTAAAATGGTTTATTTTAATTTAATGGCACCTTAAAACTATTTAAAAAAAACTTTTGATAATCAGTGCATCACTCACTCTGTGACATAAATACGCAGCACATATGCTTGTGTTTGTCCCATTAGCCTACTTGAGTTCAGTGAACTCCCAAACCGTTTCACACGTCTGTCACGTCGGTGGCTTTTACACAAACTGAAGCAGCGACTCCTAATTAAGCTGCTGTCAGTGACACTCCCGTTAGAAAATAACGCTTAATGTTATGTTCCTGTACGACAACAGCTTCATTAATGATCACCGAGAGGCTCTGAAGAGCTTATATAACGCCTAACATCCTAATATCGTCGCAAGGTCTTTAATTAAGCGAGAACTTCTCATCTTTTCACACCTCCGCCTTCACACACGCAGGCGGTATAAAGGCCGGGTTTCGCGAGCTGAAGGCAGGCATTTGAGACAACCTTCACCCGCCGGGCTCAGCCTCTTCAGAATCAGGACTCAAGACACACTCACGAAAAAAATGCCTCCCTACGAGAAATCCATGGAAGTAATGCCTTTCAAGCAAAGGAAGTGCCTGGGTAGGTCATGACTTTAAATCTTTTAGTAAGCGATCATTGTTTATTTTATCACATTAATTAAAACGCCACATGGTCGTTATATAATGTAAATGTGATATTCGACTTCCTCCTTGGTGTTTTTATTTGTACACTATTAGGCTTATTATTACTAATTAACATCTTTTTGTTGTCATTGCATTGTGTTGCTTTAATATGTATGAAATTATTATAATTAGTAAAAAAAATATTTCTTTCAACAAACAATATTAGATTTTATTTTAAAAAAATATTTATTAAATTTCAAAAATCTCAAAAATAATATATAAAAGTTTTAATGAATAGCTATTCTTGTTTTTGTGTATTTATTTTATTTATTTTTGAATAAAATATTTGGCTGAAGATATTATTGTTACTGCGGTATGGGGGCTTAGCGGTTTGCACTGTCGCCTCACAGCAAGAAGGTCACTGGTTCAAGACCCAGCTGGCTCAGTTGGCGTTTCTGTTTGGGGTTTGCATGTTCTTGCTGTGTTCGTGTAGGTTTCCTCCACAGTCTAAAGACATGCACTATAGGTGAATTGAATAAACTAAATTGTCTGTAGTGTACTTTATGTGTGTGAATGCCGGAGTGTATGAGTGTTTCACAGTACTGGGTTGCAGCTGTAAGGTCCAGCCAGTTGGTCCAATGACGGTATCCAATGGTGGATGAAGGTTCACTGCATGTTCGGTCTTTCCAGTGCACAATGTTGATTTATATTAAACTTAACTCATATCTGACTCCAATTTTAGTATGAGATGGTTTAGAATATTAATATGTTTATCCTCGTTTTATCTGACTCCAATTATAAAACATTGAGAAGATTATTTTGTTTCCTTTCACATTATTTTAGATTATGATTGAATATTCTTTTGATTTGTTATTATACCTTATTTTCATTTACTCAGATTCCGATAGCATCTCGAGTCTTGCACCGGCCGGGTATACAATCTCTTAATACAAGCTTGTCAGTCTTGGTCATTAAACAGAGGCGATTAACCACTCTCCTAAAAAGGCAGAACCCTACTTACTCAATTTAGGAGATTTTTATGTGGTCCCCATGGATCTGTTATCTACTTAATCAAGACAAAGTATTTTAATAATAATCGCGCAGGATTATACTATTGTAGATGAAGGCCTAAATATCCACATTTAAAGTAGTTTCAACAATATTTTGTTGTTCTAAATAGTTGGCCTTTTACAGTCCAAGTATACATGAAATAATGCCAATTTGCTAGTCGGATCTCTAACAACATTGTTTAGCGTGCCACGCTGCTCCGTCTAACATGTTTTAGTCCGTTACTAACCTGTACAGTGGCTTGTAGTGCTATGGACAACAACATTTATCAGTGATAATAACACGAGGTTTGAATAGTTCAAAACATAACAATTTATTAGTCAGGTAAATGTATTATGCCAATTCAATCAGTCAATTCATAAACGATCAATACAAAACATCAAATTATCAAAGATAAATCCAAGATTAAAAGATGCATTCCTGACTTTTTACATAACGTGTAAATTTTACATAACGTGGAGCCTAAGCTCCACGTTATGGGCTGATCTGGGTAGGCAGAATCGCCTTGAGCTTTTCTTAGCCCTTACCTTAAATAATCCAAGAATTCCCTCAAGGAAGGGGGTGTGAATGTATAACAAAAGGCATTCACACTTAGTGTCACGCCCCTCACAGTGGTTCAAAAGATGCCTGAAGTTATATATTTATTGTTCTGATTATGTCTATTTCTGAGAGAATGAGACCATTGTACCAATCGCACTGAGACATTTCAAATGATATCAAACATGATAGTTAAAGTCAGTTTGGTTAATTCTAGAACATTCAAACATTGAAATGACCATATGTGTGAGTTGGGGGGATGAAGCAGACTCAGATGCAAATGCAGCAGGAACTGGTTTTTCCCGCATTCCCCTTGCTGAGTTGTGAAGTCACCAGTCTCTGTTTTCAGCTCATGTTTTGAATTGTCAAAGATATCAGAATATTTGCAATATTTCAATTCTTACAGATAACCCCCATTTGATCCCGTGGGTCAGATATAAATGTGTCCATGGGGTCACTATGTATCCTTGTTGAGGTCGTTCAGGGGCAATTCAAGACAGTCTCTGCAGCATTATCAGTTGTAAGTCGTGTTCAGCAGGTAGCTAAACAGGTCCAGGCTCGTTTTCACCTCTTTTGATGAGCCTGACCCGAATGCACTGCTCATTCAGTCCATATAGGCCTTCATAGCCTCCACTGTGTCCTTCCCCTGACAAAAGTGTCCACGTCGTGTGGGCTTCTCATAGTCTGCTTCTTCTGATGAATCTGGTCACCTCCAGATATGCAGACATCGGCATGTGGGGGTTTACAGTGTGTATACACTGCCTTCTCCCGGACACCTAAACAGCAACTTGATGGCTCAGCGATTGAACAGTTATGAACTTGTGTCATTCTGCATTGGAGAAAGTCATGAGGTTAAGCATAAAATATATGATCAAAACATAAAAGTCAGCAAGTGCGAGTCGTACAACTGGTCTCAGGTCTCTTTCAATCTGTTTAAATGGTCCAATCAAAAACAGATAAGTCTTTGTCACCACTGAGATGGGGTATAATGATAGGGAGAATATTAAATATTCTTGGTTTGGATTACTCAAGGTAAAGCTATCAAAAGGTCAGTGCAACTTATTAAAACAGTATAACAGGCAGTATGCATCATAAAACATATCATCATGACAATACATTCAAATAAATGACATTCATTTTCAAAATGAAAAACCGTGAAGATATTTGTCATACATGATAGTAATCACATTATTTAACCATAATTATGAAGGTATATCTATAATAATGTGTGTGTTTGTGTGTGTATGTTGTGTGGTGTGTGTGTGTGTGTGTGTTTGTGTGTGTTTATGTGTGTGTGTGTGTGTGTGTGTGTTTGTGTGTGTGTGTGTGTGTGTGTGTGTGTTTATGTGTGTGTGGGGGGGCTTGAACACAATTGATGGTATTTGTCAAATTTAAATGTCCTAGTGATTATTAGAAGTGTCCTCACTTCGGTTTAATTTTAATCACTTTAGCACTTATACCTGTTATTGGTGATAGATTGGAAAACCAGGGGCCCTCTGGTTTGTCAACCATCCCCACACCAGTCAGTGTAACTATTCTTGAATTTATTGGCAAGTTCGCCTCTATTGAAGTTTTATACCATCAATTTGTTGTCAAAGCCATGCAAATGTGTAATTTCTTTTCAGCTGACAGAGGGTGTCAGAGGGTGTTTGTTGTCTCGTCTGTCATCAGATTAATTATTCTGTTCTATGTGTGTGAGGCTAATGTGTTTTGTTCGTATAAACATGGACAAAAGATCTTAACTAAAGAGATTTGACTCCTGGGTCTTTGAAGACTAAGGTGTTATCTATGTGCCTGGGTTTACCTGTGGCTATGTGTCAGTGTAATGCTCCGAACAATGGTAATCAACTTTTATAATTGTGTTGCAAAATTTTAGTCCTGTTTAACAGGGAGCCAGCATAAGAATGTGAACATGAGGTGTGTTCCGGCTCAAATTGATTCCATATAATATCTTTTACGGAGCATTTTAAGGTGCAATGTTCAAAGCTGGATCCTGTAAAAATGCATTTTCATGGTTAATTTAATTATCACACTCTATACTCCTGTTTGTAGTTCAAACTGCAGCTATACAGGGGATAGCAGAGTTTTCTACTTTTGGAGATCAAAGCATGAATTTCAACATAGTTAATTCCATTTTCATACAGGACATGTGGTTTAACATGTGTATAGTATAAAAACAAATTTAAAAATGCCACCAGGATTCGTGACAATAGAGTCTGTTGCTATTGGTCTTTGCAGGAACAATGCAGTAAAGTTCTTTATCGCCTCTAGGTAACCAAGGTTTTAGTCCCATTGCTATTAAGCAATTTGGGAAGATTTTAACTATGAGATCTTTCATGTCTCTGTTTAATTTAACATATAATAATTTACATCTTAGTTGAAGTAAGATGTTTTGTGAAATCACATAGCCTCCTAGAATGCTGAATCCATTGATAAGATCAGCTGTGGATAATTGTTATTCTGATGACTGATCAAAGACTTTTTTCAGAGGACTCACTGCAGGTGAGGTGTTAGCACCACAGGGGTTCTTGCTTTGAGATGCAAGATGGGAGACTTTTGGCCTCGGGTCATGGCCTAACCTTTTGTTGCCCTCATTTGTATTTGTTTGATGTGGACCGGATCTGGAGTGTTCTTTGTTATTGGTCCGCCTAAGATGAGAACAAAAGCAGAGAGAACCATTTTTAGAATTTTCATCAGTTTCAAATTCAATCATGTGGAATTAATGTTAATGCATCATCTTGCAATATTAATTCTGGAAGCCACATGATGTTGCTGGTCAGATCTGAACTGCTGTTGTTGATTTCAGCATATTGTGAGTGTGTAACACCTGTTTATACAGTCTGCTGTATTCTGAGCATTATCTTCCAGTTCCGCTGGGGACATTTTTCTGAATCAATCAATGATTTTTCATTAATTTCAGTTCACAATCTAATGGGCCGATACCCATAGTTCATTTTTTGCTCTCATTAACAGTCAGATCTGTTGGCAGAAATCATTTCACCCTTTTGGTGTTCTCTGCTTAACGGTTGTCATTTTATGGTGTGACTCACAGGTTCTTAGATCTTTTGACCCATAAAAACTTTGGTAACTCTGAATGTTATCATATCCATCCCCCTTTCATTATGTTTTTTCTGGTGAGCTTAACTCTCTGATCAAATTTTAATTGTAGGTGGTGTTTTTCAGCGAGGATTTTATTGGTTTACAATCAGTTATGCTATAGTAGTTCTGTCAGTGTTTTCATTAAGCATAAAGAAAGCAAACCTCCTCAAGGTGAATGTTTCACCCTTGGTCTTTAGTGCCATGATTGGCGATTATAACATAATGTTCATTATTGTTTATTCCTAATGTAATTATATTATATTAAAATAGTAAATATTAAAATTTAATTATATCTGGTCTCTGGAGAGTGTTTTTAGAACAACAGTGCATTTTAGCTTAATGCTTTTATCTTGTGATCAGGGTTGTGTTTGCTTGTAAGTTGCATGGAGAACAAAAGGGTCAGCAAAGGCTTGTGGCCAAATGGAATAATGTTATTGTTTTATGCAAATACAGCAAACACATTCTGAGCATCTTATTATCACTGAGGTGAGATTTCTCTGCTCTCTGTCAGGACATTTGAATATGAAAAGGTTTGAGCCATCAGGAGGTCTAAGGGCTGATTTAAAGTTAAAATCTTAGAATTTCTTTTATATTTAGTCTGTTTTGAGATTAAATTAAAGTATAGTGGATATTTTACACTGTAAACCCTAATGCTGTAACTAATTAATTGAATTGAGCTCTATTAACTTAAATCCTTAAAATTTGTTTATCTTAATTAACCTTAATGAGTATTCAGAACTTTTTCTTATTTTTGAGTTTGAAAAAATGTAATCTTTAAAAAATGCTATCAGCTGGGTGATTTAAGTATTTAAAGTTGAAAGAAATTAAAGCAATTAAGTTAATTGGTATTAAAATGTATGAGCTGGGTGACTAAGTATTTAAAGTTTGGAAAAATTAAAATAATTAAGTTAATTGCAATTAAAATGTATAAGTTGAGTAACTTGGGTATTTTAAGTTAGTTGAAGTGTCTTGCATGAGCATAACAAGCTCAAAACTTAATGTTTCTGTTAACTTAAAATAGATAATTTCATAACTAAAAAAAAATTGACATAACTGATTGCCTCAAATTTTTTTGAGTTTTGTCAACTTATTCGGGATTACAGTGTAGTTGATCAGCATCATATTTGAATTTATCACCATTATATTTAAATGACAAATTTCTGATTTGTAAAAGCAGAGTTTTCATTAGAGCTTATTTGTCTTTTTTGCAATCAAATCATTCTGTTCTGCTCACCTTTATTTTTCACATGCAAATGCCTTTAAACAGACTGTTGTTATTAATCCAATTTAAAAGTTTACAATTGTTTTTAAATCTTAAACCATTTTTTCCTGTTTTCCTTTTTTCCATTTTTCTCTTTTTTATAAAACAGTAGATTTAAAAACAATGGATATTTTTGATTCAAACTTTTAGGATCTAATTTGTGACTCTCCACTGAGTTCCAGAATATAATTTGGATGATGTTATTCCAATTTAAGCTTCAACTCTTGCTGCCTAGCAGACAAAGAGATTTCAGAGCAAGGGATGGCGTTTTTCTATACTGCTGTTATCATGTCCCTGATAATCAAAGTGGTTTTGTCTAATTCTCAACCCCACCGGATAACGCATTCCGGTCTAACATTTTTGAGCATTTCCGACTCATTCTATCAATGTGTTTATATAGGGTGCGTCCAGCTTTCCCTCAACATTTCTAATAGGCCAAGAAGAATTGACTTACCACAGCAGCTGAAGATAGAATAGAAGATCCAAACCTCTTGGTTGATATAAATCCATTTTGTGCTGGAAAGACGTAACTCGCCTGAGTTGGGAGATCACGGAGATGGGTCACCATTTTGTAAGGTCCAGCCAGTTGGTCCAATGACGGTATCCAATGGTGGATGAAGGTTCACTGCATGTTCGGTCTTTCCAGTGCACAATGTTGATTTATATTAAACTTAACTCATATCTGACTCCAATTTTAGTATGAGATGGTTTAGAATATTAATATGTTTATCCTCGTTTTATCTGACTCCAATTATAAAACATTGAGAAGATTATTTTGTTTCCTTTCACATTATTTTAGATTATGATTGAATATTCTTTTGATTTGTTATTATACCTTATTTTCATTTACTCAGATTCCGATAGCATCTCGAGTCTTGCACCGGCCGGGTATACAATCTCTTAATACAAGCTTGTCAGTCTTGGTCATTAAACAGAGGCGATTAACCACTCTCCTAAAAAGGCAGAACCCTACTTACTCAATTTAGGAGATTTTTATGTGGTCCCCATGGATCTGTTATCTACTTAATCAAGACAAAGTATTTTAATAATAATCGCGCAGGATTATACTATTGTAGATGAAGGCCTAAATATCCACATTTAAAGTAGTTTCAACAATATTTTGTTGTTCTAAATAGTTGGCCTTTTACAGTCCAAGTATACATGAAATAATGCCAATTTGCTAGTCGGATCTCTAACAACATTGTTTAGCGTGCCACGCTGCTCCGTCTAACATGTTTTAGTCCGTTACTAACCTGTACAGTGGCTTGTAGTGCTATGGACAACAACATTTATCAGTGATAATAACACGAGGTTTGAATAGTTCAAAACATAACAATTTATTAGTCAGGTAAATGTATTATGCCAATTCAATCAGTCAATTCATAAACGATCAATACAAAACATCAAATTATCAAAGATAAATCCAAGATTAAAAGATGCATTCCTGACTTTTTACATAACGTGTAAATTTTACATAACGTGGAGCCTAAGCTCCACGTTATGGGCTGATCTGGGTAGGCAGAATCGCCTTGAGCTTTTCTTAGCCCTTACCTTAAATAATCCAAGAATTCCCTCAAGGAAGGGGGTGTGAATGTATAACAAAAGGCATTCACACTTAGTGTCACGCCCCTCACAGTGGTTCAAAAGATGCCTGAAGTTATATATTTATTGTTCTGATTATGTCTATTTCTGAGAGAATGAGACCATTGTACCAATCGCACTGAGACATTTCAAATGATATCAAACATGATAGTTAAAGTCAGTTTGGTTAATTCTAGAACATTCAAACATTGAAATGACCATATGTGTGAGTTGGGGGGATGAAGCAGACTCAGATGCAAATGCAGCAGGAACTGGTTTTTCCCGCATTCCCCTTGCTGAGTTGTGAAGTCACCAGTCTCTGTTTTCAGCTCATGTTTTGAATTGTCAAAGATATCAGAATATTTGCAATATTTCAATTCTTACACAGCTGGAAGGGCATCCGCTGTGTAAAACATATGCTGGAGAAATTGGCGGTTCATTCCGCTGTGGCAACTTCTGATAAATAAAGGGACTATGAAGGTAATTGAATAAATATTTATTGTTACTTTTCGGCTTCTTAGCTAACTACTTACCTTCTTATACGCTTTTTATTGTTGTACATTAATTAAGGATTTTTTTTTGCACAGTCTTTGAGTTTTACTTGCCACAGTCAAAATAACTGCAGCAACAAGAATGGATGGAGTCTTCACTCTTCCATAATATATATATATTTTTAAATGTATGTTTGTTTTTTAAATGCAGAAAAGAAAAATAAGACTGCAGTATTTGAGATTAATCTCAAAGAATAGTTGTTGTAATCTCAGAAAAAAAATTCTTCAATGCACCAAAAAGAAAAGTTAAAGTCTGCACTGTTTTATATTATTCTACAAAAAAAAAAGAGTTAACAAAAGGGCTGAACGGTGGCTCAGTGGTTAGCACTGTCTCCTCACAGCAAGAAGGTTGCTGCTTCGAGTCCTGGCTGGGCCAACTGATATTTCTGTGGGGAGTTTGCATGTTCTTCCTGTGTTGGCGTGGGTTTCCTCTGCTCCGATTTCCCCCACAGTCCAAACACATGCGCTATAGGTGAATTGAATGAACTAAATTGGCTGTAATGTATGTGAATGGAAGATTGTTTGGGTGATTCCCAGTAATTGGTTGCTGCCGGAAGGGCATCCACTGTGTAAAACATATGCTGGATAAATTAGTGGTTCATTCCGCTGTGGTGACCCCTGATAAATAAAGGGACTGAGCCGAAAATAAAATGAAAGAATGATAAGTAACAGTAATAATTAATATTAGAGTGATTTCTGAAGCATTATTTGACTCTAAAGACTGGTGTAATGAAGCTGAAAATTCATCTTTAAAATTACTAGAATAAATTATTCAATTAAAAAATAAACAGTTTATGAGCAGTTATTTAATAGTGCAATAGAATTTCACTATTGTACAATTATTACTGTATTTTTTATGAAATAAATGCAGCCTTGGTGAGCGGGAGAAGCTTATTTTAAATCATTTAAAAATCCTACTGACCCCAAACTTTTGTTAAACTGACTTAAAACAGATTATGTAACTTATAAAATTATGTTTTTCCCAGAGATGTGTTGCGGCCGTCAGGACTAATTGATTATTTCTATATTTTTTACAGTGAGGCTGCAGTATTTAAGATTAATCTCAAAGAATAGCTGTTGTAATCTTAGAAAAATAAATTAAAAATAGTTTTTTTTTCTCAGTGCACCAAAAAGGAAAGGTCTGCATTGTTTTATATTATTTAAAAAAAGAAGAGACATGTTATATTGTCAGAAAAACACTAATAAAGGTCTTCCAGGGGAGCTGTTCCTTTTGCTTTCAATGAAAAAGATTTTACTTTTCTTAGAACAACAACAACAAAATAAGGAGGAAGTTTGAATTTATTAATTAATATTTAATTTACTGTAGTTAATTTATGTTAATTTCAACAACAACAACAACAAAAAAATGCATTCTGAGTAAAATGTATTTGTTCTTCCGATGCAGCAACAAGAAAGGATGAAGTGTGCACTATTCGCTCTAAGTTCCCCAACAAATTACCGGTAAGATGCCTTTTTTAATATATCAAAACTATTTTTACAAAGATTTTACCATTATTTTTTAAGTGCATAAATCATATGTTTTTGTGTTGCAGGTAATAGTGGAGCGATACCTTCGAGAGAAGAAGCTTCCCCTATTGGACAAATCCAAATTTCTAGTCCCAAATGAGCTGACATTAGGACAGTTCGTCAGTCTGCTCAGGTGTGTAAACTCTCCTTCTCTCTCCATTATAAAAGACCACAGTTTTTTTGTCTTGTCATTACGCAGCAGGGAATTAGCCTCGTTTCCATCCACCTATTATTATAGGCAACTGCAAATAATTGAGTATATAAGATAATAGGCCACCAGTGGCGTCTCCTAATGCACAAAAATTCCATTTTGACAGTGCAGTTCCAGTCTCACAGTTCTGTATTGACCTTGTTTACTCAGTATGATTATTATAGTCACTTTTGAATGCATTACCTTTAACTAAAAAAGGAAAATTTAATTTTTTTATGTTTTGTTTGGTTTTTATACTACATATCCTTTTATTTTGAATAATTTGTAAATACAGCAAAGTTGTTGTTGTTAAAAAAAATGTATGTAAAGTGTTGTATTTCAATGTGTACGAACTAAAAAGGAAAATAAAAAAATATTATGGCAAAAAAGAAATAAATTTTTTCAGTAGCGCTTTAGATTCGGTCACAATTCTATTAATCACTGCCTATTATTAAGATATTAGCAGCTTTCACACATACAGACCTTTCTGGCAATTTACCAGCACTTTTCTGGAAAGGTCTGTCTGTGTGAACAGGCCCTTTTTGAAAATACCGGTAAATTCGTTCCGAATAAGAGAACTTGTAACATTACCGGTAATTTGCCGGAATGCTGCGCTGTGTGAACGCAGAAGGAAGATTGCCGGAAAGAGCGCGTTCACGATTAGAAAGCACTGACGTGAGACGTCTAATTTAGCCAATCAGAACACTCAGATGCATTCACATCCGCATGCTTTATGAAAATAAAAGCCTGTGAATATTTTCCACATTTAGCTGCTAGATTTTAGTCAGATAACATTTCTATGCTCCTTCCTAATGCCAACTGTGTATATAATTATCGCTAAAATGCTTATAATAAGCTGCTGTTTGTTTACCTTCAAGCTCTGACGCATATGCACATAAAGCAGCGGGCGAGCGCCAGCACACACACATATTATGAACATCTCGACATGTGAAAGTGTTCCTCCATATGTTTTCATCAAAGTTGTTCACAATACTGATCCATCCACTGAGTTTGTAATGTAGTCAAATGTTTACAAATACAAGCACAGCCGTTTAGAGCTCATTTCTGGTTGATGATGTCAAAATTTACCAGTACTCTAAAATGGATGTGTGAACGCTCTTTTCCTTAAAAATTCCGCAACGTCCTCTTCTGTGTGAACAAGGCTTTTTTAAATTTACCGGTAAAGTCTTTTCAGAAATTTTTCGGATATTTACTCGTATCACTGTGTGAAAGGGTCTATTAACTGCACTGTAAAAAAAACAAGTTGACTCAACTTAAAATTGTAAGTCAACTTGCTGCAGAGCTTTCTTGAGTTTCAATCCAAGTACAACACTTGACTCGATTTGAGTCAACTCAAAAAAGGTCTGCGGAAGTTGCCTTACAATTTTGAGTTAAGTCAACTTTTTTAGCATGTTCATTAGTAGTTATTAGGGATGTAAAGGTGTCAGAATTTCACGGTACGGTAATACTTCGGTATGATTGGCACGGTACGGTATTTATTGAATCATTTACAGGAAAAACAAAACTAATGAAAATACTCCAAAAAAGTGCCAAAAGTGTCAATGACATACAAATTAGTCATCTATCTGTAAGCTTTGAAACAAGAACTTCAATTTTTCAATTTTAATAACAAAAAATTATTAAATCATGTAAAAAAATAAAGTTTCAATGTAGTATTGTTGAAAACTCATCACATTCAACATTTAATCACTCACTCACTCACTTAGATAGAGATGGGTTTTAAAGAAAATTATCATATAACTATAATCTGGTAAAAGCTGGTATCTCTGGGTATTTACAATGTCCCCTGCAACAGAAAAAAACCCTCTCATTTGGGACTGAGGATTCTGGGACAGAGATATGACTTGGCCAAGGTTGACAGCAGTGGGTAACGTTGTGCATTGTCTTTCCCCCACTTGAGAGGACAAGCCATGAGTGACATAGAGGTCTCTTTGCGGTACAAGTCAATGTCTGCATCAATCTGAACAGTGTGCTGTGTTTCTGCAGTCCCCATGACTGTTATTAGTCATGTTCCCCAACTTGCAGGCACGCGCACACATAGGGCTCAACCTGTGCAGTGCACATGCCCTTTTTAGTCTTGGATAGAAAGTGCCCATCCAAAATGATCAAAAGTGCCCCCGCGACGCGACACACCCTCAGTCCCGCCCTTCAGTAGGCGCGTGACAACACCGCTCTTGAGTATGCACGCTCAACCCCCCGAAAACCGAAATGCCTCCACACATCCGATTTAAAACCCGCTTTAGGTTTGGATCATTTCCAGCTCTTTTTCATCCCCGCTACTAGAAGCACACTTCATTTCCGCATTACTGGATCTGTAGCGACAACAGACCGCAAAGGATGATGGCCACGCCTGGGCTGATGGGAATTGTAGTTTCCGCTACCTCCCGTTAGCTGCATTCGCCTGAGCAAATTTTCTCAGAAGACCTATAGTTTTACCGAGTCATGCGACTACGGTAATATTGAAAAAAATCGGTATTGTGGTATGACGGTATTTATAATACCGTTACATCCCTAGTAGTTATATTTTATAGCTACTAATGAACATGCTAAAAAATTATATTTAATAATCTTGTTGTACATCCCTAATCCCTCCCAAATCCTAAACCCAACTTCTACTTTACTAACTATTAATAAATGGTTAGTTAAAGGTTTGTTAAAACCGTAAACTGTGACCTAAACTAAAATGTAAACTTTTTTTGCTTTGTTGCCATTTTATCAGAAAGTGACAATTTTGTTAGCACCAATAGTGTAGTGGTCAGTGAGTCGACACATGCACTCTGGTGCTTACGGCGACCCGAGTTCGATTCCTGCCTCGAGGTCCTACGCCGATCCTTCCCCTCTCTCTGCTCCCTATGCTTTCCAGTCAATACTCTCTATTGTCCTGTCCATTAAAGGTGAAAACCCCCAAAAAAATTATAAAAAAAAGAAAGTAATGTAATGTAATATAGTGTAGTGTGTATTTATATAGCGCATTTACCATGTATGGCTATACACCCAAAGCGGGGGACTCTCCACACCACCACCAGTGTGCAGCATCCACTTGGATGATGCGACGCCAGCCACAGGATAATGGCGCCAGTGCGCTCACTACACATCAGCTATTGGTGGAGTAGAGAGACAGTGATAGAGCCAATTTGGTGGAAGGGGATGATTGGGAGGCCATGATTGTATGGGCCGATAGAGGGACTTTGGCCAGGACACCAGGGTTACACCCCTGCTCTTTACGAGAAGTGCTATGGGATTTTTAATTACCAAAGAGAGTCAGGACCTTGGTTTACCGTCTCATCCGAAAGACGACAAATTTTGTTCTCACTTGATGGAAACGGTGCTTTATTCACAAATATTTTATATTTAGTTTTGTACATAAATCCAATTAGCATCTTTGTATTGAAACATAGCTAATGATTCAATGCTTGTTGAATACGTAAACATCGAATCACACATTTCAGAGCTCAGTGGACGTTTGAGTGAACTTTCAGCCACTTTCCAAATGTTATTTTCACCAGTTTCCCCTGTTTCTCTTTCAGAAGTAAGATCGCGCTCGAAGCATCTCAAGCTCTCTACCTGCTTGTCTCAGGAAAGAACATGTCGTGTTTGTCCGCCAGCATGGGAGAAGTTTATTCGCAATTCAGAGACCCCGACGGATTCCTCTACATGACCTACGCGTCCCAGGACATGTTCGGGTGAATTGAGCACACAGACTGACGCCTCTTCGAGATCATAACTCACTATTGCTGCTAAATGAAGATGAAAACAGGTTCTCTTCTGACCTCATTTCTCAACAGCTGAGGTTAATGTCGAGGGAAAATCAGTAGATTTGAGAGAGGTTGAGGAGTGCGGTATGAACTGGCAGTAAAGCTGTTCATACGGCTCCTGATTCAGTTTTCACAAGACGTCACTTCTTTACAGAAACGCCCACCTGGAGGAGGGCAAAATGAGGACTTCCTCCATTGGCTGCCTTATAGTCCTACTAGGCTTGTATTTAGTAGTACGGCGGCGATATTAGAGGTGTGTTCACACACTTCAAATAAGAAATGACCTATTTAGTCCCAAAAATTTCGATTTCTTAATCTGATTTCTGATTTTTTAATATATATATATTTTTTTCTTTTATTGTACACAAAACTATTGTGAAGAATTTTTGCACCCATTGACATTCATAGTATTAACAAAAACAATACAACAGAAGTCAATGGTTGTTTTTTCCCCCAACACTCTCCAGTATATCTTCCTTTGAGTTTGGAACAAATGGAAGACAACTATTATGACTTAATTTTGATTTTGGGTGAACTCTCCCTTTACATTCATTCATTTTCCTTCGGCTTAGTCTCTATTTCAGAGGTTGCAACAACGGAATGAACCAGCAACTATTCGTTTTACACAGCGGAAGCCCTTCCAGCCACAACCAAGTACTAGGACACATCCATACACACTCATTCATACGCACTCATACACTTCAGGCAATTTAGGTTACCCAATTCGCCTGTAGCGCATGTATTTGGACTGTAGGGGAAACCGGAGCACCCGGAGGAAACCCATGCCAATACGGGGAGAACATGCAAATTCCACACAGAAACCTCAACTGGTCCAACAGGGACTCGAACTAGCAACCTTCTTGCCGTGAGGCAACAGTGCTAACCACTGAGCCGCTGTGCTGCCCCCTTTATCATTCCCACTGTAAATTGTTAGACCAAACTTAATGATACCACACAAAGAAAAGCTTGTATGTTGTATATTTTGCAACAGAACTTAATGAAGAAAACAATGCTCAGCGTGTTTGTTTTGTTGTACACACGATTCAACTTTGATCAGTCGAGATGTTGTGAAAAGCATGCATAGAGTTAGAACACCAGCAATTCCTCTGTCAAACACACTAATGAAGATCTGCTGATAGGAGGTCAGTTTCTGACCCCTGTATTGAGCAACATTACAGACATTTTCAGGTTCAGACATATTCAGTTATTTTATGTTGCATCTTATGACTTCCTATCCTGTTTTCGGTTCATTTATCTCTTATTTCAACTGAGCTGTTTAAAACAGTGTGATTAGGTATGGGTCAACCTGATCAGGCTTGCGTACTTGGTATGCGTGGTGTACGACAGAAAGTTGTGTCATTGTTTTATTACAGTGTGCTGTTTTGGCTGTCTTTAGAAAACGTTGTTTTTTGTGTTGTTCTTCTGTCTACGACTGTAAACCAATGGCATTCAGCATTGAGTCTGGCTCCACCCTTTTGTACCGTACTGTTGAGCTAGGTACACTTACAGGCCACTTTATTAGGTACACCAGTCCAACTGCTCGTTACTGTAAATGGGTAAAGAAACTGCTGATCTACTGCGATTTTCACGCATAATCATCTCTAGGGTTTACAGAGAATGTACTGAAAAAGAGAAAATATCCAGCAAGCGGCAGTTCTGTGAGCGCAAATGCCATGTTGATGGCAGAGGAAAATAGCCAGATTGGTTCCAGCTGAAAGAAAGGCAACAGTAACTTAAATAACTACTCGTTACAAACGATGTATCAAGCCAATTTAATTGAGCATCGTATCAATGCCACAACCTACCTGAGTATTGTTGCTGACCATGTCCATCCCTTTATGACCACAGTGTACCCATCTTCTAATGGCTACTTGCAGTAAGATAACGCACCATGTCATAAAGCGCGAATCATCTCAGACTGGTTTCTTGAACATGACAGTGAGTTCACTGTACTCGTATGGCCTCCACAGTCACCAGATCTCAATACGATAGAGCACCTTGGGGATGTGGTGAAACGGGAGATTCACATCACATCATAGCCGACTGCAACTGCGTGATGCTGTCATGTCAATATAGACTGAAATCTCTGAGGAATATTTCCAGTACCTTGTTGAATCTATGTCATGAAGGATTTAGGCAGTTCTGAAGGCAAAAGGGGGTCCAGCCCTGTGCTAGTAAGGTGTACCTAATAAAGTGGCCGATGAGTGTATATGATGCTGGGTTTTTAACACAATTGTTTTGTTTAGAATGGACAAACTCAACAGTTAAAAAAGTGATTCTAAACTGAATTAGAAAAAAAATAACCATCCACATTTGACCCAATGTTGGGTTAAAACAACCAAGCATTTTTTTTACTATATATTTAAACAACCACATTTAAGATCAGATCTAAACATTTGCGGCTTAAAACAAAACAGAAACTTCACAGAACTGCATCCTGTTTACCCTCCAGATCTATTTAAGTCACATGACTGAAAACCACATTCAACTTCGGGACACAAAAAAGCAGCCGGGAGGTTTTCTCTCTGTGAATGTGCATCTGTGATCCTAAAACAAACACAGAGGAGAGCAACAAACAGAAAAGGCTATTTGAGCACCTACTCTGGAATGACAGCACACACAAACAGCACAAAGTCATTATGTACTCAACATCAACTGTGGTTTATCCTCAATAAATCAATTCATTCTTATTTGAATGTGTGATTTTATGGCGAGTGAGTGGTTTGGTTACTGACGAGTACTGAGTGTCCATTTAAATAAACACGCACACAGGGAGAGCTTGCTAGAAATCGCATTGCTTTTTAGTCTCGCACCTCTTCTAGAGATGCATCACTCTTTTACACATGGCTGTTATTAATCTCTAGAGGGGTTTAGGTTACTGTGTCAGTATGAGTCACATGATGAGGCGCTCATCTGCTCTGCTTTGAATGATCACATATTATTTAATACTATGAGTTACACATGGTACAATATATCACACAATTACTGTTATTGTGATAATATTCATTCATTTACCTTCGGTTTTGTCTCTAGTTCAGTGCTCGCCACAGTGGAATGAACCGCCAACTATTCCAGCATATGTTTTACGCAGCGGATGCCCTTTCACACGCACTCATACACTACAGCCTATATAGTTTATTCAATTCACCTACAGCGCATGTGTTTGGACTGTGGGAGAAACCGGAGCTCCTAGAGGAAACCCATGCGAAAATGGGGAGAACATGCAAACTCCACACAAAAAGGCTAACTGACCTAGCAGGGACTCAAACCATCGACCTTCTAGCTGTGAGGCGACAGTGCTTACCACTGAGCTATCGTGCTGCATCATGATAGTACATGCAATCTAAATATCGCAGACTTGCATGATAAATTACAGTTATTTTATGCATTATCTAAATTTGGCCAATTTGATGGGGCCTTCTTTAGTTGCTGTTCTCCTATTGGCTGAAGCAGCCCAAAGGTGAACCCAGAGCTGAAAAATAACATTAATGGTGGAAGTCAATACAAAAAGAGGAAAATGACGACAGCCAATCAGAGTCAGAATATCTGCTGAGGTTTTTAATCATACATAGTGTTGTAAAAACTAAACATTTGCACCTTTACACTGTTTTTGAATTAGAGTTAATTAAAATTGTATTTGACTTGTTTATTTTAATATAATTAAATACATAATTCATAAACATAGCTAATAAAAATCAAATATCATAACAAATAGCGTTATCGTAATACTCGTCAATAATGGCGTAATTTTTTTCTGTTTTATGCAGCTCTATGTATGTTGAATGCTTGATTCTGATTGGCTGAACATTCTTAGCGCAATCTCATGGCAAATGGTAACTTTTTGATTAAGTGGCTAATTCGTAGGAATTCGTACGATTTAATTCGTACAATTTAGTCTGATTTGCTCATCACCCAATGACGGTTGGGGTTAGGGGTGGGGTTGGGTGCCACGCCTCCTTTTTAAAATTGTACATTATCTCGTACGAAGTTGCCGCTAAACTGACGAAACGTAAAATACTTACGTTTCCTCGTGAGATCAGGCTGACATTCTTAGATCTGCAGTTATTTTCATATAAACAAACAGCTAAAGTAGTTCCGGCAAGTTCTGACTGAGTTTCATATCCATATGTTGAATAATTTCATTTATATAACCTACACTGAAAAAAATGGTTCATTGCAAATTGTTTTTGTTTGAGTTTAAACAAAAAAATTAAGTAGAACATTACTAAATTTGTTAGTTTCAATTCAGCCAATATTGCAACCACTTACCTTAAAAGTTTCAGTCTACAATAGCTAAAAATCACATCCAAACAAACAGAAGAATTATGCATAATATAATTATTACTACAGGAGTAGTTTGAGAACAAAATCCTGTCAATTGTCTTGAAACAGCATCTAAACAATGTCTTTAGGCTTGATAACCACACTCACCGGCCACTTTATTAGGTACACCTTACTAGTACCTGGTTGGACCCTCTTTTGCCTTCAGAACTGCCTTAATCCTTCGTGGCATAGATTCAACAAGGTACTGGAAAATTCCTCAGAGATATTGGTCCATATTGACATGATAACATCACGCAGTGGCCGCAGATTTGTCGGCTGCACATCTATGAAGCAAATCTTCCATTTCACCACATCCCAAAGGTGCTCTATTGGATTGAGATCTGGTGACTGTGGAGGCCATTTGAGTACAGTGAACTCCCTGTCATGTACAAGAAATCAGTCTGAGATGATTTGTGCTTTACTGAGTGGTTATTTGAGTTACTGTTGTCCTATCAGCTAGAACCAGTCTGGCCATTCTCCTCTGGCATCAACAAGACATTTGTGCCCACAGAACTGCCGCTCACTGGATATTATATTCTTTTCAGACCATTCTCTGTAAACCCTAAAGATGGTTTTGCATGTAAATCCCAGTAGATCAACAGTTTTTAAAATACTCAGACCAGCTCGTCTGGCACCAACAACCATGCCAGGTTCAAAGCCACTTAAATCACCTTTCTTCTCCATTCTGATGCTCAGTTTGAACTGCAGCAGATCGTCTTGACCATGTCTACATGACTAAATGTATTGAGTTGCTGCCATGTGATTGGCTGATTAGAAATTTGGGTTAACAAGCAGTTGAACAGTTGTACCAAAAAAAGTGGCCGGTGAGTGTATAGTAGTAGCAGAATAATGCACCATAGTCCATTGAATTATTTAAAAACAATGCACCCCAATATTTACTATCGTAAATTTTTAAAAAGGCTGTGAATTGCTTGTTATTGTCCCTCAAAATGCAACATTGTCCTCATATTTTATGTTGGAAAATTGTGCTGTTGTGCTGAATTGTAATAGTTATTAGATATGGACAAGTGGACATCCCAGTTGGTGGAATGAACTCCCTAACTGCATCAGAACAGCAGAGTCACTCGCTATTTTCAAGAAACGACTAAAAACTCAACTATTTAGTCTCCACTTCACTTCCTAATCTGCAATTGCCTCTCAGAATATCACATTAACTGTACCCAAAAAAAAAATACTAATACTACTAATACTTTCCTTCTTAGAGTTTACAGACCTGAAACTTCCCTATAGCACTTATTCATTGTTGCTCTTAGTTGTGTAAATTGCTTCCTTGTCCTCATTTGTAAGTCGCTTTGGATAAAAGCGTCTGCTAAATGACTAAATGTAAATGTAAAGTGTTTACTTGTTGTTTTTGAAACTAAGGTGTGCAGTATGAATGTAATTTTATTATTATTGTTTTATATATATGTAACTTATTTGATCTATTTTTAGTATGGAAAGCTCTGCTGTGACATGTGAATTTCCCTTTGGGATTAACAAAGTCAAACAAACAAACAAAAAGCAAAGCAAAGCAGGGAAGTGCAGCTAATAGGGCAAGTTGTGGGTGGTGATTTCTGCATTCTCTCAGTCATTTAGGACTTTACTGGGAACTTTTGCACCTTCTTGTAAAGTGTGTTGTGAAAGCAAAATGCATTAACTGAGAAACTGCAATGCAAAAGTTCAGACTGAGGTCTTCATGTGTGCTGATATGATGCTAAGGTGATAATGAACTGCATGTCACTGCCAGAAGATGGTAGTTAATTAAAAAGCGACATCATCGAACGCACCTTTAATGTTTTTGAAAGCTGACTGTGTTTAAAAATGTAATAAAAACTTTGGTATGACTTTATTTTGATGGTCACCTTTTCTCGTTTTGTTGACTAAAAATTGCATTGCAACTACATGCCAATTAATTTTCATTTGAGTATTAGTAGACTGTCTGCTTAATATCTGCTGATACTGCTCCTTCAACAGACATTTAACTGACTATAAGAACAACTTACACTAACCCTAACCTCCACCTAAGAGTCTACTTATAAACTAATAAAGAATCAGTTGGCATGTAGATGCAATGTAACTCAAACTCATAAAATGTGTTAAAGGTTCACAAAACCCTGGAGTACTTTTTTGAGATTTTAACAGATTTGTGTGTGTTGAGCATCAGTTAAGACAGTGTTAGCACCCGTCAACTTTAATTGTGGGAAAAACTGGATAATTTTGAGCTTTTGTCAGCTAATTTTAGCTTCCAGGTTTAAAATTATTTTGGGGGCGAATCAGAATCAGTGACGTAGCGCAAAACTGCAAGTGGAGTGATGATGCGTCAGTTTCTTATTATTATTCATAGCGGCCCTGCTGAAAAAAACAGCTTAAACCAGCCTAGGCTGGTTGGCTGGTTTTAGCTGGTCGACCAGGCTGGTTTTAGAGGGGTTTTGGCCATTTCCAGGCTGGTTTCCAACCATTTCCAGCCTGGTCTTAGCTGGTCAGGCTGGGAGATGACCAGCTAAAACCAGCTTGACCAGCTTAGCCAGGCTGGGAGCCCAGCCAAAGCCAGCTATGTCCAGCTTAAACCAGGCTGGTCAAGCTGGTTTTAGCTGGATTTAGCTGGTCATTTTCCAGCCTGACCAGCTAAGACCAGGCTGGAAATGGCTGGAAACCAGCCTGGAAATGGCCAAAACCCCTCTAAAACCAGCCTGGTCAACCAGCCAACCAGCCTAGGCTGGTTTAAGCTGGATTTTTTTGCAGGGGGAGTTTTCTTATCCTTAGAGAAGAGCCGGCTTCTTAATTATTCATGACTGCGCGTGCTTTCCGAAAGCAAGACAGACCTGCCAGTGTCAAGCTGTGAGGTAGAGATCTGCGCGGGATTAAATTTTGAATCCCGCTCCCGCCCGCACTCGCCAGGTTTTAGCTGGAACCCGACCGCTCCCGCTTATATTAAGCACTTGATGTCCTGCTGCCCGACCCGCCCCGTTTTCTATCCGCCGCGCCCAATCCCGCTAAAGAGCAGGGGGAGAACAAAACCGAAAATCACCCAGTTATACAGTCCAGACAGCCTATAACAAGCTGTCTGTATAAACACACACACGCACAGCACCAAGCACACACACACAGACAAAGCTTTCTCTCTCATTCGCGCGCCCTCTAACACACACTCATAAGCACCAAGCACAAACACAGGCAAAGCTCTATCGCACCCACACACCCACACACCCACACACCCACACACACACACACACACACACACACACACACACACACACACACACACACACACACACACACACACACACACACACACACATATATATCTCTCATTCGCGCGTGCGCATACACACACACACTGCAACAAACAAGCTAAACACAGCATTGC